TAAAAAAATTTTAATGAAGATATTTATCTTAATTATGAAAATATACTAGCATGTTTTTTAATTTTTGGAACCTAACCCTCCTTTTCGTATTAGTTCTTTGTTTCGTATAACACGAATTCGCATAACACGGCAATTTTTTGGAATGTAACTACCGTGTTATACGAGGGTTACCTGTATACATATATTAATATATGAATTTGAAATAAAATTATATATGTGTTAAAATATATTTATTATTACTAGTCATTAAATTTTATTTCCTAAAAATCTAATGTTTATATATGTTACAGCTAAAACTCATGAATTGAATAAAACTAGGATTAACTAGCCAGAAATAAAGCAAGCATTAGCCAGTTAGGCTAATGCTTGCTTTATTCAAGTCTTTTGATTAAAGCAAGTAACAATCTATTAATTTTGAACTTTAAGTGTACAAAAAACATTTTATCTGAATTACAAATGAATAAAGCTGAAATTATCCAAAGATGAAGGAATGAAGCAAGAAAAATACTTAAAATGTGCACTGTATCTGAGAAGATAAAAAAGAAGCTAAATCAGACTAATTTACTAAGTTTTTTAAAAAAGCAAAAATGTACCCAAAATAATGAAAGCTATTCTAAAACAACATGACTACCAATTTCAAACTGGATGCAAAAGCTGATGACAATAATCTTGCTGAAAACAAGCTAGGGTTATTTATAGGAGGGAGTCTGCTCAACAATTTTCATTGACCACCTGGCCAAGAAAATTCTGAAGATAACACTAAAACTGTAACGTTCTTCCAGTTGATTCAAAACAGATTGTAATGGACAGCATAGGAAATGTAATAACACTATAGCATTGAGAAAACAGGGAAAACTGCTTGCAACTACTTACACAAAAGGACACTTCACATGTTAGAAAACAGAACTTAATTTCACTTGGCAAAGAACCCAACTTCTGTACTTCCCTCATCCTTACACCTAACCTCCCCTCCTTTGCTACTCAATACCTTACATCTAGTCATCACAACAGTGAAAACTCAAAATATAAATTTTGAAGACCATCCATGCACTTGCCAACCTACATATGCATGTGGAGAGCAGAAACACCAACTGACAGTCTCCAGCCATGGTAGTAACAATAGATTACAACACACCATACTGGAAAATACTTAATAATGCACACAGAACCAATAACCGGTGCAAAGAAAAAAAAAAAACACAAACTATCCCAAGACAAACATTATTCCACTCCTAACTATCCAAGGAGTTGAAAAATGTTTTTCTTGGGATAGTTTTTTCTTTAATAAAAACACTTAACACCTTATATGCTGAGATATATTTATTGAAACACAAACGTTTTCAGCCTAATGGAATAGGCCATCTTAAGGTGAACTGGCATTTGAACGTATTTCAAAATTGTATTAAATGGAAAGTTCGATCATTATAAATTCAAAATTAAAACGAAAAATAAATTAACCAATCAATATACAAAATAAGTATACTAAATAGATTGATGCCATATTAATATAAATAATAAATAAGGTGATATAAAAATAAAAACAAAATAAATAAACCTAAAGGATTAAATGCACAAAAGGACTAAATTCATAAAAAATATATACATAAAAAACATCATATTATAAAGGGCAGATAGGAACTAAGAATTTGTGTGTTTTAACTTTTCTTTTACAAGGAACTTCCATGCTGATGGTAAACCATCAGCATCCCTTGCATTGATACAGCCGTCCCTTAATTTACTCATAAATTTCAATTTTTTCATGTTGCAAAGCCAACGATGGGGACCGCAACATCTTGAGAATAGATGCTTCATTCCATTTAACTAACGAAGCCTCCGCTTGTGCCATATTTGACAAAACCGTGGTACAATGCCCTTTGCTAATGTCATATCTGTGTTCTTTAAGCCTAATAGCCAAATTTCGTCTTGTGACTCCAATATAGTCCTTCCTAATTCCTAGCTGTTAGTTTTCATATATATATATACAGTGGCACCTCAGGATACGAAATGAATCCGTTCCAAAACTGAGATCGTATCATGAAAATGTCGTAAGGTGGATCATCTTTTCCCATACGATTACATGTAAAACCAAATAATTCGTTCCAATGCAAAAAACATACTCAAATTAAAGCCAAGTAATACATTAAAAAAAATAACTGTAGTAAGAAAAACAAATGAAAAATGCGAACTAATGTAACGTCGTATGGTGAGTTTTTGTTCGTATCGTGGAGCAAAAATATGTTC